GGGGGGGGGGGGGGGGGGGGGAGAAGGGGTTAAAGGGACTCAAGACCACAAACCTCTCACCACGTGAATATGTAAATCAACGTTTGACTAAACCCCAAACTGTCAAGCCAGAGGGACCACAGTGGCCAAAGTGCCTTCTGCTTAAATAATTGGACATTAATCTGTCGCTCTGTACACAAATAAATTCAGTCTCTCGTATCCTTCAGTTATCGTTTTAACCCAGCCACCAGCCTCGGAGAGAATTTTCCTCCCGTTCGAGGGAAATTATTCCATCGTGAGGCAACCGTGCGATAGGGGGCCACTGCGAGATGTGAGGGTATTTCGGGGGAGAAATTTGAATTGAGTTATTAATATACTTGGGCTGCTGCGATTGAGCTCCCAATGGTGTCATTTTGCTTCGAGGTGATGAATATGTAATTTGCAGAATGAAAACTGTGATACCCATGGTGGTGAGAAGGTTTTTTTTTCGAGATTTGCGGATTTTCGAATCTAGAGCTGATCATAAGTCTGCATATACTTGTTCGATTGAGGGCCACGTGGGCTCATTCTCTTCGTCTTTTATGGTACTACCATTCACAGAACAAAAATGAGAAGAAACCTAATGCCACCTCACGTCTCTCTTGATAATTCAACTATTATCATATTTTTTTCGAAACTAGAGCTAGCGAGAAAATCCGTTTGTACTGTGCGATTGAGGTCCACGTGGGCTCATTCTCTTCGTCTTTCATAGCTCTACCATTCACAGACCATAAACTACAATAAAATTGAGGCCAACCCACGTGTACCCTGGAGATTCAACGATTTCTGCATTTTTTTTTCAAACTAGAGCTATTGATAACTCTCCTCACAGTTATTCGATTGAGATCCGCATGGGCTCATTCTCCTCGTCCCACGTAACACCCCAAAACAGAACAAAATTTATAACAAACATGATAGCAACCCAATATTCTCTCCGCTTAAAAAAAATATTTAAGAATCGTCATCTCCATAAATTCATCTCGCCCCTCCACTGCCTTGATAAAACGATTCCATCACCACAATTTTGTCCCATTCAAGAAAATTATTCCATCATGAATCAACCAAGCGATATTCCACCAGAGAAACTACGAAACACGATGAAATGCCAAAGTCGCTGTGAGAGAGTGGGCGGTGAATATTTGTTCCATTGGAATAGGCCAGGGGTTTTAGGGTTGGTGGGATAACTAAAGTCAGTAGCGCGTGGGACCCCTTCAACCCAGGCTCGTAATAAGGAAAGTTTAAACGCGGTCTACTCCGTGTCCTCGGCGTGCCAGTGATGTCGCCGCGTTTTTGCTGACAAACGTTAATTGCGTTCCGCCTGAGCGCGCGGATTCGTTGAAAACGAGGCACAGGGATAGAGGGATGGAGGAGGCAATGGGGGGAGGAAGGGGGGGGGGAGGTAACTCATCCTCTTTCTTCTGATGTTCCCTAGGAAAATGCAGAAAAAAATATTTAAAAATTAAAAGAAGAAGGGAAAGGCGAAAAAAATTCTCATGAAATGCAATTAGTGTTCAGCGAATTTTTCCGGCAATTTTTTTTTTCTCGCAGTTTTATTTGTGTACGGTCTTTGCGTTTATTGTTATTATTCTCATCAGCTGAGCCGCACTGTGAGAATGCTGGAGAGAGGGAGAATTATCAATTTACTTTGTGGTAATTTCTTTTTCACTTTTATCTCAATTGAATTAAATTTCATTTGTAAATTGTTGTTTAATGGAGAAATTCTCACGCTTTGAGAGTTGTTTATGGGATTATTTTTCTTGGGTTTTCAAATTAGTGAATACCGAGGGGGGCATTAATAGTCGTACACATGTGGTAATAATGTTGCAGTGGGGTAAGGGGAGATGGTGACTCTCGCGAGGAATTACGGGTTAGATAGGAGTAAGATATAGATAGGATTTTATCGGGGAGTCACACGTGTGCTACCGTGTACGAGGATATAACGTGACTCGTATATACATTTTCCAGGGGTTTTTATTCTCATTAAAGGGTGTTTGTACAAACACCTTGTGTTACTACTTAAGTATGTCTGATCAGTTCGCACCTGTTTCCACTTGCATACTCGGTGGGTTTTTTTTTTAGTTTCTTTGGGTTCAGATGGTTTTGTTGGGGATTCTGGGGAGTGATTCAGATGGTGTTGGGATTATTTAACATGCCTCTGATGAGAGTAATTTATGGGGATTCCGTTTCTTACGGAATTTCGTGTTCTGTAATATACAATTACATACAATTTAGTTTTCAATACTAATATTAATAGACATTTCTCCAACATTGGTAAGCATACGGGATGCGAGTGAAACAATTTGAAGGGTTTGATGCAATCAAGTATATTTATTCCTGACCCTCAATTCACGTATATTTTTTCCGTGTATCGAACCTACTTCACCACCCCACTCCCTTAAAATACCCTCAATCAACGACACATCCTCCCCCAGCCCTCCACCCCAATAAAACAATTTCCCCCCCCGAAAAAACCCAATTCCCCCATTCCCTCCTCCATCCCCCGGGTGGAATTTAATATCTCCCTCATTGTACCACTCAAATAGTTTATCTCTGCGGAAGAGTTTGGATAGCGGAATTGTCGGATGAGCAACAATTTTCACGTGAGAACAAGTAAAAAGTCCGTGTGTCTGTGTGTTGGAGAGCCGATTGAAGCGAGACCGAGCGATGAAATACCTAGACGTATATTCAACAACTCCATTGTGGTATTGGTTCCAGCTGAGTGATAGAATACGTGAAATCACCAAAAGAGGAAGGGAGAAACAAAAAGCGGGAGAAGAGAGTGAGCGGCACGCTCACTCGGTACAGACGAATAATTTTAGATTCATCGTGATGCAACGGGGCGAACGACTTGTAATTCTTTCCCATCGCTTCTCTCCCTCCCCCCCCCC